GAAAGGAGAGGCTCCAAGATTTTTGTAATTTTTTTACATTAAAAAAATAAAAATTCAATTAAAAATTATTTAAAACATCACAATTTACCTAATTTTCACTTTAACCACATCAAAATATATACATGTAAATACACTTAGGCTGTCTGTATATTGTAATTTAAAGGTATAATTTTAATGATGCTAGTTTTTTATGTCACTATTACCATTACATTAAATATGATATGGGGCATTACAATTTATGAGTAACATTAGTACAAAAAACACTACTTAAAAATTCTGTATATTGTGGTATGGGAGGAGGTCAATTGCGGGGGTGTGACACCATGAACCATCACACCAGGTGACGCCAACCCTAGTGACACCGTTGCACTTCTGGTCCCAAGCATTTTGCACCTATATATCAGTGAACCTGGACGAGCTGGACAAGAGTTACAAAGTAAAACTGAATTTATCCTGAACTTTTCAAATCTATTAAATAAATAAATCTTATTCACTAAATGCAGTTCTGATCTTTAGGAAAGAGTTTTAAGAAGTATTTCATTCAAATTGTATGTCTATGGCAAAGGTGCCTGCTGTGGTCTAAGTAAAGATGTTCCACTGAAAATTCAAAAAGATACTATTAGTGTATTAACATTTCGGCTTTTTCCATCTGTGTTCTAGCGACTGTGTTGTTTATTAATGACATAATAATCTATAATAGTTCTGCAGAAAATATATAGAAGATACAGAAGAAAAATATTGCATATCAAATACATTCCTCAATTGTCAGAATACAACATGTCTTAGAAATGCTTACCATCACACAGACATCTAATGTATTGCAATATATTGAAAAATTAAATCTTCATCTCATGTTAATAAAACATATCCATTTATCTGAAAGGTTTAACATTTTTATTTGCAGTTTAATCAAAATACATTAAAACATATTTACTAAGATTGTTGCATGTAAACACAATTAAAAAAAGCAATTTAAAAAACTAACACCCTAATTAATATAGCCCAGCAATTAGCATTCTGTTCTTCCCACGCATGCATATACACATTGCCTTTCCTCTAATTTGTCTTTCTTGGTCTTGGTCCCCATTTCATAGAAACAGAGCAAGGGAGGAAAAAACCAAACAGGAACATTTACCAGTAGGGGAAAACTTTAATGCTTAAGCTCCAGCATTACATGGCAAGATTGTTTGTGAACTCTGTGCTTGTCTTATGACAACTGCCATCACTATAATATTTCATTTTATTTCATAATATAGAGCTTGAAACAATGTAGCACTGGCAATTTTATGAATGAGGGAGTGGTATTAGGTTATCCAGAGAACTGTACCCCTTTCCAGCAGACAAAAATGATGGTATTTATTTCAATAAAGGAGTTCAGATTTTAAGACAGATTTTTAAAAGGATTTTATCTCAGAACTTTTGCAAAAAATATATACTAAGTATGTGATACGAAGATCTGGTACTTGATTCTGCTTGGTGTTCCTCTTCTCACTCTATTCCTTGTACATGGTATCGCTTCTATTGTAAGCCATTTTATGAAATGTCAACCACCACTAATGCTTGAGCATAAAGCCCCCTCAGAAACAAAAGAACCCCAAAAATATATAAATATAACAAATGAATATATTTTTAAAGTGGCACCAATAAAGATAATGGGCTGGATCTGGACTTAGAAATGCTTGGAGTTGACCCATTAAAATGAATGGGATGCATTTCTATGGCCCAACAGGGATTTGAACCCTAGTGTCCCATTGTCTTTTAGTCCAACTCTCTGACCACTATACTATGGGCCTCGGCAGACGACTAATTGAGTCGTCTCCGAGCCCTGGAAGAGGAGGGGCAGCCGCACGCGCGGCGCCCCTTCCTCTTCCCGAGGTTGCCCTCGGAGCTGCCGGCCCTCCGCACGGCCAGCGCTCCGGGGGCAACCTCCCGCCGCAGCGTCCTCACACGCTGCGGCGGAAAAGACAGGGAAAGTGCGCCCTACGCGTTTAGGGCGCACTTTCCCTGTCTTCTAAAAGGAGCGCCAATTTGGAGCTCCTTTTAGGGACGCCGCAGGAGTGCCGCGGTGCGGAGGCTGCGGTCCCACGGCGCTCCGTCCGGCGGCGTCTGGGAAGCTCTCGTGTGCTTCCCCCCTATGCTAGCTCTCTAATCAATTGATAGCTCTTCCTGTTTGGAAATCCAGTATTGATACACTGCATTTGATGCTGTAAGAAATAAAAGAAGGGCAAAAGAACCTTCCGTTTTCCAGATGTTGGCGAACAGCTACTCCCATCCTCTCTTATCACTAGACAGTCTGGGTAATATGTTTAGGAATCAGCTTTCAACACCTAAAGGGCCATATGTTTCCAACCCTGAACAAAAATAAACTATGTCCCAGTCATATGGCAAATGAATAAAAGGGTCTGTAAGAAGCAATGGCTGTTATTTAATACTTAATGGAATCAAGTGAGTTCATGGAGAACAGAATTACAGTTGAGAGCTCTTCACGTGGACGTGAATATGGCAAATACTCCATGTGGTATCAGAATGTCCTCATCTGCATGGGAACAACTGGATTAAGGGAAATGAAGAGTAGACAGATGGGAATAAAAAGGACGTTCACAAGAAGAACAGATAGAGCTTTTACAAACTGCCAGAAATAGTGCAGCTTGAGGCCACTTTAACTGTCCTGGCTCTGTGCTAGGGAATCATGGGGATTGTATTTTTTTCTGGAACATTGAGGCTCCTCTCTCAGAGAGCTCTAGTGGCACAATAAACTACAGTTCCCATGATTCCTTAGCACTGAGCCAGGACAGTTAACGTGACCTCAAGCTGCACTATTTCTGGCAGTCTGTAAAGGCCCATAGAGAAGAATACATGTATTTCATTGTAGCTTTTGTTAGAGGTTAATGGGCCATAGGTTGAATTGTCATAAATTCTCTCATTTATTTTACACACACACACACACACACACACAGAGAGAGAGAGAGAGAGAGGACAATCAATCATCTCTATGGGCCTTTGCAGACAGCAGGAAATAGTGCACATTAAATTGAGGCACTGCCCTGGCTCAGTGCTAGGGAGTCATGGGAACTGCATTTTTTTCTGAGACATTGAGTCTTCTCTGTCTGAGAGCTCTGGTGCCACAATAAAATACAGCTCCCATGATTCCCTAGCACTGAGCCAGGGCAGTGCCTCAATTTAATGTGCACTATTTCTGGCAGTCTGCAAAGGCCCTATATCTAGTATTTGGAAATTTGCCTAACAGCTTTTGTTATATAGTTACTTCACAGCATAGCCTATGATATGTGGTCTAGCAGGATTCCAGTTTAAAGGGGCCTGCATATGACGTAGCTTCAGCTCTGAAAACCCAGCCTTTTCCAGGTATTTCCCTGTCTCTCTGGTCAAATGGCATCCATCAAACACAACTTGCCAAGGTGGATCATAGATTTGCTGCCAGAAAAGGCTCCAGCTGGAAGGAGAACCTGCGACATGTTCCATGAAGTAGAAAGCACCTCCCTGGAAAAACAGAATAAAATACATGTTACTTTCTAATTTTCTTTGGATGAGCTGCCTCAGAGATTGCTTTGCACAATCAGGGATATTACAGGGTTTCCTTCATGTCAGTGTGTCACAATGTTGTAAACCTTAAGTGGCACAACAAAAGAAAGAGATATAAGACTGAACTTACAAAAACAATAGAAAACAGCAGAAACAGGATATAAATATTATGCATGCACACAGACACATTTTAGAGAGTGGTGCTGTGCAATGGTGAGAAGTGCACTCTTCTCCAGCACTCACAAAGCAACCAAAAGAACATTTAAAAGATCCCCACATTAGATGCCCTAGCAGTGGGATGGGAATGGTGGCAGTGGGGTGGGGAAAAGTAGCAATAGCACTTTACATTTCTATACTGCTTCTTATAGTGAACTAAGCACTCTCTAAGCAGTTTACAATGTGTAAGCCAATTGTCCCCAACAAGCTGGGTAATCTCCCTAAGTAGAAATCCTCACATTTGGTTACAGATCCTAAATAACTAATTCACATCTCCCACTCATATTTCTAATTTTGACACACATCTCTCTCGTGTTCTGACTCATATTGACTTGAGTTTAACTAATGCAGAGATACAGGATGTCATTAGTAATACATGGGCAAAACAACCACAGATCTGTGTACAGTACACACCAGGGACTACAAGCCTGCAATCTTGAACCAGAGCAATCAATTGCCAGGCATTTCAACTCAGAAGTTCACAGCATCTCTGATTTGTCCCTGATTGGTACTGGGGGGCAATTTCCTTTAGGCATTTTGGACAAAATGGAAAATTCTGGATTCACAGACAAGAACCTAACACCACATGGCCTCAACCTATATGATAACATCATTCACTAAATAATATTGAAAAGAGGGTTCTAAAGTGTCACCTTGGATGCATCATTAGAAGAAGGTAGAAATCAAAACATTTTGCTCATTTTATGTTTTTAAAGTTCTGTTTATTAATTGTCTCTTTCCAATATTAAAAATATTATATAGCTATTAAATAACTAATTGTTCACATTTTTAAAAAATAACCAGTGCAAACATATAAATAGCAGTGCAAGTAAAGATCTATAAGGCATAAATCAATCTTTGGCTAAAGATTGACCAAAGGCCCTAATTCAAGTAGAGGCCAGATGTGTTTCAACCAGCAATCTTCTTCAGTAGCTAATGAAATTCTTATATTGAGTTCTTTCCTTCTAATCTAAAGGCTGAAGTACTGGTTAAAAAACCCTATGCAATCATATTCATATTAAAAGTACATACATTCACAAAAAGCAGCTTACATAACACATCAGTATATATTAATGTATATGCATATATACAAATGCATCTTCAAATTGCCTGTCAACTTATGACAACTCTATGAATTTCATTGGGTCTTCTTAAGCAAGGAATACTTAGAGGTAGTTTCCCAGTTCCATCCTCTGAAATATAGCCTACAGTACATGAAGCTATCAGGGTTCAATTTCTGACTTGGCCACGGAAATCAACTGGGTGACCCTGGGCGAATTACACACTCAGCCCCAGAAAACTCCCTTATAGGTTTGCCTTAGGGTCACCATAAGTTGGAAGGCACACAATACCAACAAAATCCAATATTAGTCCTAGTTGTTGTTGTTAACTGCTCTCGCGTCGACCCCAACTCATGGCAACCCTGTGGTTGAGACATCTCCAAGACCCCCCGTTTTCCACTGCTCTGTTCAGGTAAAGCAAGCTCAGGCCCGTGGCCTCCCTGATTGAGTTCAACCATCCGGCATGTCATCTTCCTCTCTTTCTCCTACGCTCTAACTTTCCCAGCATCACTGTCTTTTCTTATAACTCATTCCTTTTCATGATGTGGCCAAAGTATGACATCCTCAGTTTGGGGCCTTTGCAGACTGCTAGAAATAGTGCAAATTGAGTCCACTTTAACTGCCCTGGCTCAGTGCTAGGGAATCATGGGAATTGTATTTTTTTCTGAGACATTGAGCCTTCTCTGTCAAAGAGCTCTGGTGCCATAATAAACTACAGTTCCCATGATTCCTTAGCACTGAGTCAGGGCAGTTAAAGTGGACTCAATTTGCACTATTTCTGGCAGTCTGCAAAGTTATCCTGGCTTCTAAGGAGAGTTTAGGGTTGATCTGTTCTAAAACCCATGTGTTTGTCTTCTTGGCCATCCACTGGTGTTCACAGCACTCTTCTCCAGGACCACATCTCAAATCAACTGATTTTCTTTCTGTCGGCTTTTTCCACTGTCTAGCTCTTACACCAGGGGTAGGCAACCTTTCCCCTTTAAGGGCTGAGGGACTTCAGCTCCCAGAAGCCTCAGCCATGTTGGCCAATAGTCCCATGTTGGCCAATAGCTCCTGGGATTCTGGGAGCTGAAGTCCCTCGGCCCTTAAAGGGGAAAGGTTGCCTACCCCTGTCTTACATCATTAAACTCATGGCCTGCCTGTGGTCTTCCCCTAGATATGGCAGGTGAGCTCAGCAGGATTTCCGCCTGAGGAAGGAAGGGCTGCGGAGCCACTTGGGCACCCAATGTCAAGATATGTCCCAGTAGCCACCCTCCTCCTCCTCCTCCTGCAGTAAAAGGATGAAGGGGGGGAAGGGGGGAAAGAAATAGGAAACCTCAGGAGCCACCAGAGCATTGACAGTACCTGCTTCTCTCTCTTTCCCTGTGCTATAGCCATCTTCTATAGCATAGGGGAAAGCATGGGGGGGGGCGTTTCCTTTCTCTTCCCCTGTGATATAGCTAGCTGAGGAAGCCATCTATATAGCACACAGGGGAGCTGAGGGAAGGTCCCAAGCAAGCAAAAAGTTCTGCCATGCATGCAGCATAACCACACACTGGGACAAAAGAAACCTGCTTGCTGCTGAAGCCTCTGCTTGCTGCAGCCTTTCTCTTCCTGCCTCTGGGCTCTACCCAGTACTACCCAGAGCTTCAAGAGGGGGATTTGAATGAGCTTTTTCAAGATTTCATTCCTGCCTTCAGGAACGACATGCTGCATGAACCAGCCAGGCATGTTTTCAAATTAGCTTATCGCACGGCACTTACAGGAACAGAATGGAACAGGTCAAGAATGCATGTTACTACACAGGAGAACGCCATCGATACCACCGGGAATCTCCAAGCCATTCCCCAGCCGTGGCATGGCGACTCCGGCGGCATCGGCGAAGTTCTCCTGTGTAGTAATGTGCGTTCTCGACCTGTTCCGTTCTGCTCCTTTTCTTTCCGTTCTCGTTCCTGTAAGTGCCATGTGATAAGCTTAAAAGACTTCAGTCAGGGAC